ATGTTGATGACATCGCTTTGCCACCACCTACAGGACCTGACGGGGCCACGACTAAAATACACTGCTGAGATGGTGAAATGATGTAAAGGATCAAATCTTTAAAAACTGAAAACAATGTTTATTTCACTGTTATATGTACATGAGGGAAAACTTAAATTCAGCCAACTCAAAATCAACACCATTATTAATTCAGACTTTCCTAGAACACGTTAATGTTTAAAATCCAGCCTCAAATGCAAAAACCACATCTACAGGCGCATGTTTATAAATAAAACAGATGGTATTTGGCCTCAGTGGACAAACAGCAAACTCTATGGCTTTTCTAAAACACCATTTCCTTTTCTTACATAATAGATGACCTTGCTCCAATGGAGGGCAAGTCCCTCATATGGATTTTATTTGTTGTGCCTAACAATAATAATAATAATGATAATAATAATAATAATAATAATAATATTATATATATATATATGAAACTACAACAATATTTCAAAACATTGGTGTGCAAGCACTTACTTTACTCGAGAAACTTAAATCATGTATAAACACAATGGAAAGCACTGATACAGCTAGTATACAGTGGACTATTATGTACAGGTCATATCAGGTCATTGTGGCATTAGATGTCTGACATTGTATTTGGACGTGTCATGGTATTGGGTCATAGGCTTGTCTGCAATACCACACGTTCCCACTCCCACCTTTCCGTTGACGCTTTCTGGAGATGCAAATATGCTCCTCTTCACCTAGAATAAACAAAAGCACATGGAAATCAACATTAGTAGCTGTTGCAACAATGTAGTACTGGAAAATTTGTATTAATTATGCATTACAAAGAACTTAACAGTAACCTATGGACACATGTCACTAGTTTCAAGCCGATATCTTGGTTTTCTAACACTAGCCTTAAAAATAACTTACCTGGCCTTTCTTGTTCTTTGAGTAGGCTTTGTTGTTGAACTGCTGCCACTTTGACTTTTGCTCCTCTCGTTCTTGCTCCAGCTCCTTCATCCTCTGTACCTTCTTCTGAGCTTTCTTCTTTTTATACTCCCTCTGCTCTGCTATCTGCTCTTTCCTAGAGAGAGAGAGAGAGAGAGAGAGAGTCAATACAGATTCCCCCGATTCTAATTTTCTTTCTCAGAATTGTAACTGACAGCATTTACACAGAAAAAATA